ATACATTTACTAGTCACTCCCTACATCATATATTTACTAGTTACTCCCTACATCATACATTTACTAGTCACTCCCTACATCATACATTTACTAGTCACTCCCTACATCATACATTTACTAGTCACTCCCTACATCATACATTTACTAGTCACTCCCTACATCATACATTTACTAGTCACTCCCTACATCATACATTTACTAGTCACTCCCTACATCATACATTTACTAGTCACTCCCTACATCATACATTTACTAGTTACTCCCTACATCATACATTTAATAGTCACTCCCTACATCATACATTTACTAGTCACTCCCTACATCATACATTTACTAGTCACTCCCTACATCATACATTTACTAGTCACTCCCTACATCATACATTTACTAGTCACTCCCTACATCATACATTTACTAGTCACTCCCTACATCATACATTTACTAGTTACTCCCTACATCATACATTTACTAGTTACTCCCTACATCAAACATTTACTAGTCACTCCCTACATCATACATTTACTAGTCACTCCCTACATCATACATTTACTCCCTACATCATACATTTACTAGTTACTCCCTACATCATACATTTACTCCCTACATCATACATTTACTACTTACTCCCTACATCATACATTTACTCCCTACATCATACATTTACTAGTTACTCCCTACATCATACATTTACTAGTTACTCCCTACATCATACATTTACTAGTTACTCCCTACATCATACATTTACTAGTTACTCCCTACAGTTATTTACTCCCTACATCATACATTTACTAGTTACTCCCTACATCATACATTTACTAGTTACTCCCTACATCATACATTTACTAGTTACTCCCTACATCATACATTTACTAGTTACTCCCTACATCATACATTTACTAGTTACTCCCTACATCATACATTTACTAGTTACTCCCTACATCATACATTTACTAGTTACTCCCTACATCATACATTTACTAGTTACTCCCTACATCATACATTTACTAGTTACTTCCTACATCATACATTTACTAGTTACTCCCTACATCATACATTTACTAGTTACTCCCTACATCATACATTTACTAGTTACTCCCTACATCATACATTTACTAGTTACTCAATACATCATACATTTACTAGTTACTCCCTACATCATACATTTACTAGTTACTCCCTACATCATACATTTACTAGTTACTCCCTACATCATACATTTACTCCCTACATCATACATTTACTAGGTACTCCCTACATCATACATTTACTAGTTACTCCCTACATCATACATTTACTCCCTACATCATACATTTACTAGTTACTCCCTACATCATACATTTACTCCCTACATCATACATTTACCAGTTACTCCCTACATCATACATTTACTAGTTACTCCCTACATCATACATTTACTCCCTACATCATACATTTACCAGTTACTCCCTACATCATACATTTACCAGTTACTCCCTACATCATACATTTACTAGTTACTCCCTACATCATACATTTACTAGTTACTCCCTACATCATACATTTACTCCCTACATCATACATTTACTAGTTACTCCCTACATCATATATTTACTAGTTACTCCCTACATCATACATTTACTAGTTACTCCTTACATCATATATTTACTAGTTACTCCCTACATCATACATTTACTAGTTACTCCCTACATCATATATTTACTCCCTACATCATACATTTACTAGTTACTCCCTACATCATATATTTACTCCCTACATCATACATTTACCAGTTACTCCCTACATCATACATTCACCAGTTACTCCCTACATCATACATTTACTAGTTACTCCCTAAATCATACATTTACCAGTTACTCCCTACATCAAACGTTTACTAGTTACTCCCTACATCAAACACTTACTAGTTACTCCCTACATCAAACACTTACTAGTTACTCCCTACATCATACATTTACTAGTTACTCCCTACATCATACATTTACTAGTTACTCCCTACATCATACATTTACTAGTTACTCCCTACATCATACATTTACTAGTTACTCCCTACATCATACATTTACTAGTTACTCCCTACATCATACATTTACTAGTTACTTCCTACATCATACATTTACTAGTTACTCCCTACATCATACATTTACTAGTTACTCCCTACATCATACATTTACTAGTTACTCAATACATCATACATTTACTAGTTACTCCCTACATCATACATTTACTAGTTACTCCCTACATCATACATTTACTAGTTACTCCCTACATCATACATTTACTCCCTACATCATACATTTACTAGTTACTCCCTACATCATACATTTACTAGTTACTCCCTACATCATACATTTACTCCCTACATCATACATTTACTAGTTACTCCCTACATCATACATTTACTCCCTACATCATACATTTACTAGTTACTCCCTACATCATACATTTACTATTTACTACCAGTTACTCCCTCATACATTTACATTTACTAGTTACTCCCTACATCATACATTTACTAGTTACTCCCTACATCATACATTTACTAGTTACTCCCTACATCATATATTTACTAGTTACTCCCTACATACATTTATTTTACTCCCTACATCATATATTTACTCCCTACATCATACATTTACTAGTTACTCCCTACATCATATATTTACTCCCTACATCATACATTTACCAGTTACTCCCTACATCATACATTCACCAGTTACTCCCTACATTATACATTTACTAGTTACTCCCTACATCAAACGTTTACTAGTTACTCCCTACATCAAACACTTACTAGTTACTCCCTACATCAAACACTTACTAGTTACTCCCTACATCATACATTTACTAGTTACTCCCTACATCATACATTTACTAGTCACTCCCTACATCATACATTTACTCCCTACATCATACATTTACTAGTTACTCCCTACATCATACAGTTACTAGTCACTCCCTACATCATACATTTACTAGTCACTCCCTACATCATACATTTACTAGTTACTCCCTACATCATACATTTACTAGTTACTCCCTACATCATACATTTACTAGTTACTCCCTACATCATACATTTACTAGTTACTCCCTACATCATACATTTACTAGTTACTCCCTACATCATACATTTACTAGTCACTCCCTACATCATACATTTACTAGTCACTCCCTACATCATACATTTACTAGTTACTCCCTACATCATACATTTACTAGTTACTCCCTACATCATACATTTACTAGTCACTCCCTACATCATACATTTACTAGTTACTCCCTACATCATACATTTACTAGTCACTCCCTACATCATACATTTACTAGTCACTCCCTACATCATACATTTACTAGTTACTCCCTACATCATACATTTACTAGTCACTCCCTACATCATACATTTACTAGTCACTCCCTACATCATACATTTACTAGTTACTCCCTACATCATACATTTACTAGTTACTCCCTACATCATACATTTACTAGTCACTCCCTACATCATACATTTACTAGTTACTCCCTACATCAAACATTTACTAGTCACTCCCTACATCATACATTTACTAGTCACTCCCTACATCATACATTTACTCCCTACATCATACATTTACTCCCTACATCATACATTTACTAGTTACTCCCTACATCATACATTTACTCCCTACATCATACATTTACTCCCTACATCATACATTTACTAGTTACTCCCTACATCATACATTTACTCCCTACATCATACATTTACTAGTTACTCCCTACATCATACATTTACTAGTTACTCCCTACATAATACATTTACTAGTTACTCCCTACATCATACATTTACTAGTAACTCCCTACATCATACATTTACTCCCTACATCATACATTTACTAGTTACTCCCTACATCATACATTTACTAGTTACTCCCTACATCATACATTTACTAGTCACTCCCTACATCATACATTTACTAGTCACTCCCTACATCATACATTTACTCCCTTCATCATACATTTACTAGTTACTCCCTACATCATACATTTACTAGTCACTCCCTACATCATACATTTACTCCCTACATCATACATTTACTCCCTACATCATACATTTACTAGTTACTCCCTACATCATACATTTACCAGTTACTCCCTACATCATACATTTGCTAGTTACTCCCTACATCATACATTTACTAGTTACTCCCTACATCAAACACTTGTCCACATTCTTTCTCCTTGTTCTTGACAGTTACTACATTCGTGTCACCAAGCCTGGATCAGGAGGTGCCACCGTCTCATGAACAGCAGGGAGTTCAACAACTTTGTGGTCAGCAAACACAATAACAACAAGAAAATATCAGATAATAAAACAGCTGTTTGGGGATAAAATCATTAAAGCAGATTGTCTAATGGAGTTTAATCTTCTGCCAGTGTATTCAGGTTCTCAGTATAACTGATACAGAAATTGTCTAGAGCTTTTTTGCAAACATTTTTATTCTCATCTGCTATTAGAGCATGATTTTCCTTTCTCTACAATTATGAATTGTTGAAACATTTGCTGTCATCAATTCTTCTATAGAAGTTTTAACCATTTTCTGATTTTTTGCATTCACTGGCAATAAACACTGGAAAGTTCTGGTTGTTCGTCCACCTCCAGACTCAAGTCCTGTTCCAGAACCTGAGTCTTGCGTTGAGTGCACATCCATTTTACAAGCTTGGCCTATCTGTATACAGACTATTGGTTCCTTGCATCTCAGCAAGATTACTTCAAGGTAAGCCCTCAATTGGTAACTCCTACATGCTTGTTAGGGAGGCAGTGGGTCTATTCTGGTTTTCTCTACACTCAGGCCCTGGAAGCCACCGGGAGATTGTAGACAGAAAAAACGCAGTGGTTACCAGCAGGGTGCCATGTTGGTATCATCATTCTTATGGTTTTGAAAATAAAATACAACAGGAAAAGAAATGCCTCAAGTACTTCTTGTACATAAATACCAACATCAATATCATCATCTTACCCAGTCAACAATGAGTACCCTCTGTAGATGAAGCTTCTCCTTTAACTGCTTGGCTGCGATGGCCACAGAGTTGAAGTAACAGAATCCCCTGGAAATAAACACAAAAACAATTAATGCTAGAACAAGAATGGTAATTGGTTGTGAAGATGACATGTTTCATTTGATGTCAATGACAAATATTATGCAAGATAAATTGCTGACATCACTGACAAATGTGCTATAAGATGACAACACAGACAAATGTGATATGGATGTCATCACTAAAAAATGTGCTATAAGATGATATCACTGACAAATGTGATTTATGATGACATCATTGACAAATGTGACATCACTGACAAATGTGATACAGGATGACATCACTGACAAATGTGATGTATGATGAAGTCACTGAGAAATATGACATCACTAAAAAATGTAGGATGACATTCCTTTAAAATGTGACATCACTGATAAATGTGACAAGTTGACAATGTTCTGTTAAAGTGTGATACTTTCTCTAAGATACAATCACGATGATCTATATATCTCAACAGACAAACTGTCACAAACACATGAAGCTCTCTTACATCGGTGTGTCTTGTTCTGCATGATGGCCAGGAGGTCGTACTACAGCAAAGCCATTCTGAAAATATACAAGGAGTTGACAATTAATGAATCTCTGAAAGAAAACAAATCAAGTGTAAGTTCAGCGTACAGTAAAAAATGCGGTCTCATCAATGATTCACGGACAACTAAAAAAAAAAAAAACAGGCAGCCCACATTTGCAGTAAAATAGGTGGCTAAAAGGACTCAGATGATTGTTACAGGGAGCAATAGAGTTAATGACAGCAGAGTGTCACACACACCTGCCGGTCAACCAGCTATCTAAAGACACTGACATACATCAGAGTGACAGGAGTCAGTGCTGGAATAATTCTGAGGCTCAAATGTCATACAAACTGTGATGATGATGATGATAATGATGATACATACAGACCTTTAAATCTCCAGCTGCGACCCGACAAGCCAGTTCTATCACACAACCAGCAGCCTGTGGGGACACACACACAATTATAAGTGAGGACAAACACCTTCACACATACACACATGAATCACCAGTCTGTCAGGATATGTAAAGTCAACACCCCCCCCCCCCTCCCTCTCCCATCATCAGTCAGGATATGTAAGGTCAAATATACACCTATAAAATACACACAGCCTGCAACCTCTAGTAACAATAAACACAACCTCTTGTAGCAAACACACTCACAACTTGAACACACTTAGTAAAAAAAAGTAAAGGTCTCTTTTCATGCCTTCAGGCAAATCGGGCATATTGGAAGAGCAGTCCATATTTTTACAGACCAATTGGCACTGGGTGGGTATTTTGGTCAGCATTATGGGTGGGTATTGTGGTTAGCATTAAGGGTGGGTATTGTGGTCAGCATTATGGGTGGGTATTGTGGTCAGCATTATGGGTGGGTATTGCGGTCAGCATTATGGGTGGGTATTGCGGTTAGCATTATGGGTGGGTATTGCGGTCAGCATTATGGGTGGGTATTGTGGTCAGCATTATGGGTGGGTATTGTGGTCAGCATTATGGGTGGGTATTGCGGTCAGCATTATGGGTGGGTATTGCGGTCAGCATTATGGGTGGGTATTGTGGTCAGCATTATGGGTGGGTATTGTGGTCAGCATTATGGGTGGTTATTGCGGTCAGCATTATGGGTGGGTATTGCGGTCAGCATTATGGGTGGGTATTGTGATCAGCATTATGGGTGGGTATTGTGGTCAGCATTATGCCAGCTTTTACATTTTAGGCTGGGTCGATCTGCGAAACTCCATACCACAATAAAAATCTCTGCAGCCAGCAGTGGGTTCCGATCGCGGTATGTTGCCTAAGCCATGGACGCCGTACACAAACTTTATTCTCCTGCCTGTAACATTGTGCAGTAACATAAACAATCTTCTGTGACACACCAACTTATGTAGCCAATCCCCCCCCCCCCCCCCCCACCCCTTCCAATGTCCTGTAACATATACAGACTTCTGTAACATATAGACTCATGTAACGCATAGCCTTGTATCAATTATAGAAAATACTGTCAATACAGCAACTGTAACATATAGACTCATGTAGCACATAGACTCATGTAGCACCGAGCCCTGTATCAATCATAGAAAATACTGTCAATACAGCAACTGTAAACATATACAATCTTCTGTAACATACAGACTCATGTAGCACATAGACTCATGTAGCACAGAGACTCATGTAGCCCCGAGCCTTGTATCAATGATACAAAACACTGTCAATACAGCAACTTTAACGCTGTATTTGCCAGGAGGTTCTCAGAGCTGAGGTATAAATGAAGATCACTAGTGCCAGCCACTGCCATGCAGTCTGCAGGCTGGGTGTGTTTTTTTGGGCTACAAACAACTTACTGAAGAACAGAGCACAGGTCCCACAATAGGCAGGGCAAGCATCCTAGCCACACAGGCCACAGACTGCTCTTTGAAACACACCTCACTTACAAGAGTACCATGTAATAAACATAAGTCCACTGGCAAAACTTCTCAAAGCCCAACATACGCCCACTCTACAACAGCACAATGTGTCTGTAGTCGAGGCAACAAGAAATAGAACCTTTTATCTCCCTCGATACCCAAAGAGGTATAAGAGGAAGTGAAGAAGAAGATAAAAAGAAGAGGAGGAAGAAGAAGAAAATGAAACTGAGAAGGAGGAGGAGGAGAAGGAGAAGAAGACTGGTACAAATTAGGACTAGTGAGGTCCCTAGATGATCTGAGTTTCAGACTTCTATCAAAGCAGGAGAGTGCGTTACATCTAGTGACAAACACATCAGCCGAACAAAGACTAACACAGGTTCTACTCACTGTTCTTGCTGCTGTGGCGGTGTAGACTTCATTCCATACAGTATCAGAGTCGACTCCTACGCCACCACAGTACAGCAGGCAGAACTTCTTACTGGAACTCTCTGTCAGAGTCATGACGTCACAGATGAATGTGGCATTTGAGGAGCATTACAGGTGTACATGATATGATAATATTACAGACAAATACAACATCTGATAAATTCATAGGTGAACATGACATCTGACAAAATCATGGATTATAAGACGTGTGATGAAATCATTAATGCACATTACATTTTATAATTTGTAACTACATTTTATGAAATGACAAATAACCATAGCATCTGATAAAGAATTATTTTCTAAAATCTAAGGATTGACAAGACATCTGATACAATCACTGACGATACAATCACTGACAAACATGGCATCTAACATCGTGTTTCTCACACAGGCAAAAATGTGAACTAAAATGGCCAAGTAGTCTTACTAAGTAATAACACATTCCTCTTTCACTCTGGAGCATATATCTACAACTATGTCACTTCTAGTCCTTCTACACTTTCACCATTCTCTACCGCTCTCTCCATGCTTCTCTCTATCTTTTAAAATGCAGCACCATGACTTCCAGGAGTTAAAAAAAAATAAAATGCAATAAAAAAAAATAAAAACAACGTTCTTGTAGTTTCCAGACAATGGTACGAAAGTTGCGCTGTGCATTGGGGAGGTCACCAGGCAAATATTGCCAAAGATAACAGTGTTACACCATAGTCAATCTTCATATAAAATATATATATATTTAAAAACATTTTCTGTTCTGGTAATAATTCCTGAAAGATTGCCATTCAGTGACTCAAGCAGCAGATTTCCAACCGATGCACAGGTAGGTAACAGTGTTAGCACTGTTTGCTTCTGTGAGGGGTACTACTAATTCCAGAGCACACACGTGGACTAGAGACAGCAAACAGTTATCACTAGTTATGTGCATCCTCTACTCACCATACAGCTTCTGCCTATTGTATGGGTTGCCTCCAAAGATCAGTGAGTATGTTTCTGTGTGGCAGCTCTGCAGTTCCTCAATAGTGGCCTTCCTGCTTCGAACCCTCTGAGGACAAAATAAGAGCTATGAAATACTCCACCGACCCAAAACTTAACATGTCTATCTAAGACAATCTCATCAAATCAAACATTTGTGAGGCCATAGCAGCAATATTGTCACAACCCTGTGAGTACAGTCAGTGGCGGAATGTACCACACCGTAAGGTGTGCGTGTTGAGGTGACACCCCAGGGTTGACACAAAGGTCAAGGCCGTGACTGGTCAAGTCTGTGCGGTTATTGTAGGTTATTGTACGGCGAAACCAGCGCTCAGGATAAAGCTTTTGTCCACGGCAAGAAAGAGTGAACGCTGTTTTAGACAAGTCGACAGCACGATGACCGCTTTTGGGACTGAGCTGGTGAACGGGGTCAAGAGACACGAGGGAGAGAGAACACAGGACATTCGGTGTGCGTCGGTCAGGGAGAGAGGACGTTTAGCAAGACAGTGATAGTATTAGAGTTAGGATATTTATGTTAGTGACTGGGTAGTTTATGTACAGTGTTCTGTTAGAATAGGATAGTTCTTGTGTAGAGTATTTATGTACATGTTCTGTGAGAGAATGTCTAACCTTGACACTCTGACCCTGCACTAAGACAGAGGCTGTGACAGTTTGGTTGGTCAGCGTGTCAATAGGTAAGAGCGTATCTCGTGACCGTGTGGTTTGTACACCGGGAGATTGCTTGTGGACGTACTGGGAGCAAGGCGACTGTAAAGCTCGTTCGGCCAGAGGGTTCAGGCAATAGGTGGCCACACAGCGGGAAGTCAACTGTCTATTGTCTTACCTGTACTTACAATAAAGATTGTCGTGTGTGCTCTGTGTGCGTTCGGGTTCAGTGTGTGTTAAAGGTTAGTTGTCTGTCATAGGCCACTGACTCATGAACCCGAACTGTAGTCTTCCCTCTATCAGTCCAATAGTTAACTCATATTAGTGACTCGTGAACCACAACTGCAGATTATCTCCCTCACATCTCTACTCTAGTGCACCCAGATTTCATGACTTTGAAGACTGCAGACTTAACTCACACCTGTCTCCTCTAGTGCACCCAGATTTCCTGACTTTGAAGACTGCAGACTTAACTCACACCTGTCTCCTCTAGTGCACCCAGATTTCATGACTTTGAAGACTGCAGACTTAACTCACACCTGTCTCCTCTAGTGCACCCAGATTTCCTGACTTTGAAGGCTGCAGACTTACCTCATACCTCTCTCCTCTAGTGCACCCAGATTTCCTGACTTTGAAGGCTGCAGACTTACCTCATACCTCTCTCCTCTAGTGCACCCAGATTTCCTGACTTTGAAGGCTGCAGACTTACCTCACACCTCTCTCCTCTAGTGCACACAGATTTCCTGACTCTGAAGTCTGCAGACTTACCTCATACCTCTCTCCTCTAGTGGACACAGATTCCCTGACTTTGAAGTCTGCAGACTTACCTCACACCTCTCCTCTAGTCCTGTCTCGGTCAAACGGCTCCATATACTATGGATACGGCCAGCATGCTCCAGGTGATTCTGATCATCATTGCACGTACATCTGTGTTTCAACATGGCAGTGTCATATGCCAGACCTGGGAAGGACATAATCTGGCTATTACCACATAGAATAAGAGGAGAATAAATAGTCTAAGTACACTAATGTCATTATGTTACAATTATACTAAAATCATTATCATCTTGTTTTTTCTTTCCTCTTCTGTCTTAGGGTAACCTGTAACAATGGAGTCTGCAGAGTTTAAACTATGTCAGTAAAACAATTAATAATGACTATTTTATTAATAATGTACAACATTTAAATATCTATTCTCATGAACGATCCTTTCACCTTAACAAGAAATTATTATGCTGGAATTAGTCTCACCAATTTATGATAAATGATCTTTGTCCCACCTGTGGAAAGAAACAATGTCCCAACAACGCACAACTCTAATCTGGCACTGTCCCAACACTGCACACACTCAATCTGGCACTTTCCGTGACACTGCAGTTCAAAATGGCACATCTTCAACACTGTACTACTTCCACAATGCACTCTCCAATACTGTAAACCCCCCCCCCCCCCTCAATACTACATACACGTCCCCAACATTATACCACCAATGCTGCACTCTTCTTCTTCTTCTTTAGCATTCTGATTCCTTGATGTTTATTGCTGCAAATATCATGTCTCCATTTATCTCTGTGGTTGGCCTTCTCTTTCCAGTTGGTGACATCAAGTGTTTTAGGTCTGTATGGATATTATTTTTCTATCGTCTTCTTGGTCTGCCTCTTGGTGGTCTATGCCCATTCAACTTCCTTTTCTAACATAATTTACCTCTATGCCATCTGACATTCTTTCAATATGCCCACACCATTTTAGTCTATAAGCCTTCATGATGCCAGTGATCAATGGTGATTTAAACAGATAATGAATTTAGCTGATTCTAGACAGTATTTCTTCTGCTAGTATGTGGGAACAGTTAATAAAGTTTGCAATCAATACTGACCCTTCTAAAACATCTATAAACTGTATGTAAAGTAAACTGGCTTTACTGAGTAAGTTCAATGAACATGGCAATAAGTTTCTACATACTGGGTGTCCTACATAACTAATGACCTTGTGTCCTAAGAAGAGCATGTGGCAACTCACCGGTAGTAAAAGTGTATGTCACAGGGCCAGAGTCCTGTGCTGACTGTGGAGGTACGGAGAAAGCCACCAACGGGCTGGACTGAGTACGAGATAGGGGTCTATGGTGGGAGGGACCTTTATGCCGCACTCTCTGTGAATCACGGTGGACACTCAACAGTGTATGGCTGTCTCGATCTCTTGCTGGTTGCAGGGACCCGGCAACTGCAGATGCTACAAGTGGGCCTTGTATAGGTGCTTCTTCCATCTTACCATCCATAATTTCCGCTTCTCTGCATTCTTTCATTTCCTGCAAGATCATTACAACTCTTTTTATAAAAGTACATCTTGAGATCCTTCATTTGCTTCATGGTAATAAATCATGTTGAAATGTTACAAACAGGGTTCACAATTCTGACACAAAATAATGTATATCAACATGTCATGTGTGCAGATTTCATGGCATGAGAGCAAGGCATGCACCAAGGGGTCATACTTGGATGGTTTGGTCACAGGACATAACTGGGAAAAAAAAAACATTTTCAGATTCATTTTCAATGGATGGCCAAACCATTTCAGTCTTTGTTTTTCAAGGAATTTAACAATAGGTATTGATCTGATGGTAGCCACCAAGGTGCTGTGGCTAAACGCTCGCCTGCAGAACTGAAAGTTGTGAGTTCAGATTCCGACTTGACCAGATTTTTTTTTCTTTAATGACCTGGGCGCTCAGGTTGACCAGGCATTAAATGGGCACCAGGTAAAGTTTGGACGGCTGGCCTATTCTGACCCCATCCCCCACAGAGTGCCCACTGGTCAATACAATATAGGTCCAGCCCTTATGTGCAATAGGTCTGAAACAGGGTCCTGTACTTTATTGTTCCAATCTCTTCATTTCTCACAGGATCTCTTCTGGTTTGATTGGGCTCCATACAGATGTAAACAGTGCTGTGTTACTTCAGCAGGTTTATCAGTGACTTTGAAAATTTGGCTATGTTACATAGAAATGGGGAAGTTACGCAGAAAATTTGGCTATGTTCCACAGATAATTTGGCTATGTTACATAGGTAATCTGGCTACGTTACACAGATAATATGGCTATATTACAACATCCAGTGTGATGAATGGCTACAACACTGACAGCGTGATGTTTGAGTGATTGAGATGACTGTTACCTGACTGACCTGTGCAAGCCTGACTTCTGTCTCCTCATCTACATTCTCCATATGACTCTTGCTCCCCGACCGCTGTAACACCGTCTGTCTGATGTGCTGCAACAATTCAATCATTACATTCATATTTAGCAATCAAACATCACTAACATAGCACAGTGCACATTCAAATTTTACAAAGATTTACCTCCGCAGATAGTACAGATTTGTAACATACTACTGCAGACAGTACTAATCAGTGATGTAATCATATGTTCAAACTTTTAGATGCAGGAAACACAGAAATGTGTCCCTCTAGTGCGGCATCACAAAATGCTGAGCATGTGCTCCAACGTTGTCAACTGTATGCTGCTAACAGGGATGCAATTTGGCCTGTTCCAACCACAATGAAGCCAAAACTGTATGCTGCTAACAGGGATGCAATTTGGCCTGTTCCAACCACAATGAAGCCAAAACTGTATGCTACACGGGGAGATATGGACTGCAAATAGCTTCCACAAAGGCTACCTGCCTCCTGATATAAGTTTTCTGACAGAAGGATTGAAGAAGAAGAAGTGATGTGATACTACAGACGGTACTGACTAGTCTGATTTAAAGCTTTCCATTTTTGATGTACTGCTATAAACAGTATAAATAAGAAACAATGTGTTGTTCAGCACACACTAGACAGCATTAAAAACAAGTTGATCATGTATCTTAGTACACCTGGTTTCACAGCAACACTCATTTATCACTTGGAGGTGACAGGTTCGAGTCCTGGCACTGCAACTATAGTTTTCTCTATAGATTTTGTCTAGTTTGTCCTTCTATCTTTCTATGAGTGCCAATCAATACATTGTTTGTTTGTTATTTATATTATTTATTTGGCCTTAAGGGGCCCCCCTCTGTTTACTATAAACCAGCGTTTCCCACCTTGAGGAAATCTGAAAATGGACTCTTCCATATTTAAGTTACATAGGGAGCTAAGAAAAAAATGTTGGGAAACAGCGCTACAAACAGTGATGATCTGTGTTATACTGTGAGACAGAGCACTGACCTGTTTGACATAGAGCTTCTGATCTTTGATGTACTGTTCATGCTGCTGTTGCATGAGAAGATTCTGTTGTTGATGGAACATTCCTAGTGGGAGAGGGGCCGAGTGTGTACGTCCTAATGGTCTGTGTCTGAAAGTTAACATAATTTTAGTCACATACGAATAAATGATTTCCAGGAACAGCCCAAACACATCTTTTCATGGTCAAACCCAGCCGATCTTCTTGTGGTTAAATCCAGCCTATCTTCTCATTGTCAAACCTAGCCTATCTTCTCACTGTCAAACCCAGCCTATCTTCTTGTGGTCAAAGCCAGCCTATCTTCTTGTGGTTAAACCCAGCCTATCTTCTCTAGTACTCTAGTTCATTAATTCCCAAGAAATTAATGAAGTGAGCTGTGACTAAAAAGCTTAATGAAATGGGGAAGCAGGACAACGTGCAAAAACCAACACAAATTGATGTTTCAGCTGGTGCCTTTCTCGATATGGACTAACTAAACAACAGTTTACACAGGGGAGAGTACTCCAACCACCAGCACCCATTAGGTTTCACAAGAGAAACTACAGAAAGGTGATGTAGAATGAATATGTATAAAAAATTGTATGGTGATTGTGCGTGACTGTGATTATGTGGTTACTGTGTGAGATGGTGGCTGTGTGAGATGGTGGCTGTGTGAGATGGTGGCTGTGTGAGATGGTGGCTGGGTGAGATGGTGGCTGTGTGAGATGGTGGCTGTGTGAGATGGTGGCTGTGTGAGATTGAGGCTGGGTGAGATGGTGGCTGGGTGAGATGGTGGCTGTGTGAGATGGTGGCTGTGTGAGATGGTGGCTGGGTGAGATGGAGGCTGGGTGAGATGGTGGCTGGGTGAGATGGTGGCTGTGTGAGATGGTGGCTGTGTGAGATGGTGGCTGTGTGAGATGGTGGCTGTGTGAGATTGAGGCTGGGTGAGATGGTGGCTGTGTGAGATGGTGGCTGTGTGAGATGGTGGCTGTGTGAGATGGTGGCTGTGAGATGGAGACTGTGTGAGATGGAGATTGTGTGAGATCGTGGCTGTGTTAGATGTGTCTATGTGGTGACTATGTGAGATGGTGACTGTGCGAGATGGTGATTGTGTGAGATGGGGACTGTGCGAGATGGTAATTGTGTGAGATGGTGACTGTCTGAGACGGTGACTGTCTGAGATAGCAATTGTGTGAGATGGAGACTGTCTGAGGTGGTGATTGTGTGATATGGTAAAGTATGATCCCCATGCTCATCAAAATGACACTTGAGAGTGATAAGAAACAATGTCACTACAAGCAAAGAACCCTCATCTCTGCCTCAAGGCATACAATGAGCAATTGCCCTGTACAGTACTCTAACAGACTAAACTAATCGGCACATGATAGCTCATGTGATTAACATCATGGCAGCCACTTTCAATTCCATAACATTCCTGGTACCTTCTGTGGACTGGGTTGATTTGGCAGCTCAGGTAACACTAAAGAGAGAAACAGCCTGCCTTGATGAAGATTTGACAAACATCACCAACAGGTTGTATACAAAATCCTGCCTGCACAGAAAATAACTGTCTTGGTAAGTGCTTCTGCTAAACATCAATTTGTGCATGCAACCAGTATATCTCAGTTTCAAACAGATTGTTTTTAGTCCTATACAGCTAGGATTAGGTTTGGGCTGGCAAAGACTGATCTGTGGATGATGAGATAAGCTGTCATGGCAAAGACCTGGGGGAACTGACCTATGTAATCTGTGAGCTGGATGATGAGATAAGCTGTCATGGCAAAGACCAGGGAGGGAACTGACCTATGTAATCTGTGAGCTGGATGATGAGATAAGCTGTCATGGCAAAGACCAGGGGGAACTGACCTATGTAATCTGTGAGCTAGATGATGAGATAAGCTGTCATGGCAAAGACCTGGGGGAACTGACCTATGTAATCTGTGAGCTGGATGAGGAGATAAGCTGTCATGGCAAACATCAGGGGGAACTGACCTATGTAATCTGTGAGCTGGATGATGAGATAAGCTGTCATGGCAAAGACCTGGGGGAACTGACCTATGTAATCTGTGAGCTGGATGATGAGATAAGCTGTCATGGCAAAGACCTGGGGGAACTGACCTATGTAATCTGTGAGCTGGATGAGGAGATAAGCTGTCATGGCAAACATCAGGGGGAACTGACCTATGTAATCTGTGAGCTGGATGATGAGATAAGCTGTCATGGCAAAGACCTGGGGGAACTGACCTATGTAATCTGTGAGCTGGATGATGAGATAAGCTGTCATGGCAAAGACCTGGGGGAACTGACCTATGTAATCTGTGAGGCTGGATGAGGAGATAAGCTGTCATGGCAAACATCAGGGGGAACTGACCTATGTAATCTGTGAGCTGGATGAGGAGCTGTGGGCCCGACTGTTGCTGGAATGAATGGACTAGCTAGAGGTGAGGTGGCCGCAGTCACTGAAGATGGTGAGAGTTTACTCTGGGAGACCAGGTATGCTGCTGGAGCTGTTCCAGGAGGAAATTCTCCATCTAGAACTGAGCAGAAAGAGGAAAAACAAACATGTCCACAATCAAACTTATTTACTATAAAAATACTGAGTGTTTTTTCCCCAGTGACAAATTCAATCATTATTTCAGTCATTTAAAACGGAAATGACAATTTTAAGTAGAGACTGGCTACCACATAAAAGAGAAAACTCAGTTAAACAGAACCATCTGCTACAAACTATGGTGACAAAACCCAATCGGTCATGAAGAGGTTTAAAAAAAAGGAAAGAAAATAATTCAGCTGAATAAAATAAATAGAGGCTCTCTGTTAGATGCATCAGCATGGGTAACACATCTGACCAAGTGTCCTGTGTGTATGACTTGCTCCAGGCACATACAAGAGCTCCCTCAGATGACAAAATTACTATTTGGTTCCTACAGAAGAGCAAAAAGAGGCCAACAACAACAGGAGCACAACAATAAGAAAGGCACACGTAACAAGTTACCAACCACAACATATCTGGCACAGGTTACATGACCTGTCATAATTACAAACACTGTCTAAGAACGCTTTAATACAATACACCACTCCAAGAATGATTTTACAGAGCGATGAACTGCTGATCAGTGAAACACTATCACTCTACTACGGCCTGCCAAATACACTCACATCGGCAGTCTCTAGAACAGGAACAAAACAGTCCTGCGAACTATGTACAGGTGATTTACAAATGAAGTGGTTTGGATACCTAACAAGAATGCCCTGGTACTATCTGCCACATCAAGCCACAAAAAAAAGTTACAATGGGTATAGAGCGAGTGGAAGACCTCCGAAAATATCGAGTGATGGCCTTACAGAAATGAACATCAGTCTTAATAGTTCTCTTGACAGAGCTCATCAACGAATGTTACATTCCCCCCCCCCCCCCCCAACACTTCGCTGAGTTACAAGGTGGAAGAGAAGAAGAAGAAGAAGATGGCTGCTTTGGGCGACTCACGCCAGATACATCTACCTCATGTGCAGTGACAGTCCTCTGATGGATCTCCCTCTAAGAAACCACGCCACTTGAGGGCGAAAGGTAGACCTCTTGGTGAAAAGAACCGAGACCTCCTGTCTGCTACCCAGTCACTCACTGATGTATCACTGATCAACCTCCAGTTAACCACAATAATCCATGATAACTAAGGAACTCTGCCCTCCACGTTGGTCAACACACAAAAGTTATCAGAGTACTTTCTGTGAAACGTTAAGGTATCCCATCAACCAATGTACCAGGCAGATGCAACTTTGCTGACCCCACACACATGGTCCGACACAGATGTCCATTCTAGAAAACCACATTGACAGCATTCAAAAATACAACTCATGATCCACTGCCAAAAACTGATGGCTGAAAGCAACTGACTCAAGTACCATGGGATCACCCTATGTGCTGCTGGACTTCACAATAGCCCTGATGGACGCCAGTGGTGACATGTCTACAAGCTAGTCATGAACTTCAAGTGACCCATGTTTCCCCAGCTGTAAGTGGTTCAAGCTCTTTACCTTCACAAACCATCAACACAACATGAATGCCAGTGCCTGCCCTTGCTTCACAAAGCCCTGGCTTAATTAGCTTTTTACCCACCATAGTGACTTTCACACACAACCGTTTTCTGCCAAATGAAGTATGAAACAATCCAGAAATGGCATAAGGAGTCTAGACCTTTAACAGGAATCTCTCAAAAACTGGCATGTAAGACCAGTTGTGTAAGACCTGCATTCTCCTGCCAGTTGTGTAAGACCTACACTCTTCTGTCAGTTGTGTAAGACCTACACTCTTCTGTCAGTTGTGTAAGACCTGCATTCTCTTGCCAGTTGTGTAAGACCTACACTCTTCTGTCAGTTGTGTAAGACCTACACTCTTCTGTCAGTTGTGTAAGACTTACATTCTCCTGTCAGTTGTGTAAAACTTACATTTTTCTGTCAGTTGTGTAAGACTTACATTCTCCTGTCAGTTGTGTAAGACCTACATTCTCCTGCCAGTTGTGTAAAACCTACATTCTCCTGTCAGTTGTGTAAGACCTACACTCTCCTGTCAGTTGTGTAAGACCTGCATTCTCTTGCCAGTTGTGTAAGACCTACACTCTTCTGTCAGTTTTGTAAGACCTACACTCTTCTGTCAGTTGTGTAAGACTTACATTCTCCTGTCAGTTGTGTAAGACTTACATTCTTCTGCCAGTTGTGTAAGACCTACATTCTCCTGTCAGTTGTGTAAGACCTACATTCTCCTGCCAGTTGTGTAAGACTTACATTCTTCGGTCAGTTGTGTAAGACCTACATTCTCCTGTCAGTTGTGTAAAACCTACATTCTCATGCCAGTTGTGTAAGACCTACATTCTCCTGCCAGTTGTGTAAGACCTACATTCTCCTGTCAGTTGTGTAAGACCTACATTCTCCTGTCAGTTGTGTAAGACTTACATTCTCCTGTCAGTTGTGTAAGACTTACATTCTCCTGCCAGTTGTGTAAGACCTACATTCTCCTGCCAGTTGTGTAAGATTTAAACTGCTAGCTGTGAAAGACAAAAAAATCAAAAAAAGCAGCCACAGGAGATAGCAAATGATATGATGGCTTTCAGTAGGTTGATGGCTAAAACCAGAAATGAAAGGCAGAAGAAGAGAATGAAAAGAATGAAGGCATTTAACTAATTTGAACAGCTAACACTAATAATTTTTTTGGCTTGTTTTGTCAAAATCTGCTTTCTGCTTCTAGGCGATGATAGGTAGCCAAGCCAGGCTGTGCTCATATGCTGTGAGACATTGTAGATTTTAAGTCTTTTCCATAAAACCATAAATTCATCTTCTCCACTTTTTGATGTTTCCATTTTCCTGTTATATGCTACTGCTGCTGGAATCACTGGATTATTTCTCACTAGGTGGCTGAACCATTTCGGTCTTTGTTTCTCAATGAATTTAACGATGTGTATTAGCCCAACAGTCCTGCTTATCTCTTCATTGACATCAAGTGCTCCTGTAGAAATAATAATCATAATGCCCAAATCCATCCGGTTGACCATTTTACTGACAAATACAACAAAGATACAGGTAAACGAGATGCACAAGCACAGGCACTGACCAGGCAGGGCAGAGAAATATCCTGGCAGAGCTCCAGCCATGAGATGTGCAGTTCCAGGTAAGGCAATGCCAAGTCTCGCAGACATAGCAACTCTCAGCTCCTCTTCAGTGCTGACTGGTGACCCCTGTCAATGAATACAGTGAAGTGGATTAGCCAAGGTTTGTTATCTGTGTCATGCAAACGTGAGGGTTCGCAGAGCATTTTTCTAGAAAAAATGTGATGGCAGTCACCAAGAGGTGTCTAACTAAAGGACCCCTTTTCAAGCCTTTTGGTATATTGGGCATATAGGGCTAGACATATATTTAAAAACAAACTGGAACGTGGTGGATGATGCCAGCATCATACCAAATGCCTTTACAAGACTTTGCCTAGTACCCATTTAAGGCTGGACTGACCAGGGAACCAAGGTCATTTTTAAGAAGAAAATAGTCCAGCTCTGTCAGGACCTAAACAAACGACCTTCTGATCCGCAGACAAGTGTCATCATGATGGTTCCATGTCTATAACTGTGCTGAAAGATAAATTAAAAAAAAAAAGATGCCTAAAAAAAAAGTGCTGGTACTGTACTGAGTACAATCGTTTTTAAAAAAAGTGCTGGTACTGTACTGAGTACAATCGTTTCAAAAAACAAAACTGAGTATTACAATAATTCCTGGATGTATGATAAGTATGACGGCTTCCCCATGGCTGAGTGACTAAACCGTTCACCTCATGCTGTGAAGGTCAAAGATTTATTTCATTGTCTGTGTTGTTTAGTTCACAAGTTCAATTCTTATAGAGGGATCATTGTTGGAGGTACAGAGTTCTTCCTTTGTGTGATGCTCTTTGCAGCCCCCCCCCCCCCCCCCCCCAATTCTTTTAAATAAAATGTTCACCTGCATACCTCAAAGTCATTGTCTCCCTTTCTTCTGTAAACTACCGTCTTCCAACCATGCCAACTCTCCTTTTCTCTGACATACTTATTATCTGTCTTCCTCTACACTATCTGCCTTTTTTTTCAAACAGGATAACACACACAAAAACCATCAGTTCAGCAATAATATCCATGTTTCTTAAGAAGCCTAAAGTGAAATATCATTAAAAGACAATTCCTACCGACGCAGATGTTGGCGGTCGACCAAGCGAAATGTTGGGCATGGAGGGGGATGTGTATAAAAGATCTGCACTTGGGTATGCCAGGCTGGGCTGGAACGGATTAAAAACATAGCCCAGGTTTTCCTGAAACACAGAGAAGGCAGGAAATAATTATCTGATCACACTCCAATACATCACATGATCTCAAACATAGAGAAGGCAGGAAATAATTATCTGATCACACTCCAATACATCACATGATCTCAAACATAGAGAAGGCAGGAAATAATTATCTGATCACACTCCAATACATCACATGATCTCAAACATAGAGAAGGCAGGAAATAATTATCTGATCACACTCCAATACATCACATGATCTCAAACATAGAGAAGGCAGGAAATAATTTTTTGATCACACTCCAATACATCACATGATCTCAAACACAGAGAAGGCAGGAAATAATTATCTGATCACACTCCAATACATCACATGATCTCAAACACAGAGAAGGCAGGGAATAATTATTTGATCACACTCCTATACATCACATGATCTCAAACACAGAGAAGGCAGGAAATAATTATTTGATCACACTCCAATACATCACATGATCTCAAACACAGAGAAGGCAGGAAATAATTATTTGATCACACTCCTATACATCACATGATCTCAAACATAGGGAAGGCAGGAAATAATTATTTGATCACACTCCTATACATCACATGATCTCAAACACAGAGAAGGCAGGAAATAATTATTTGATCACACTCCTATACATCACGTGATCTCAAACACAGAGAAGGCAGGAAATAATTATTTGATCACACTCCTATACATCACATGATCTCAAACATAGGGAAGGCAGGAAATAATTATTTGATCACACTCCAATACATCACATGATCTCAAACATAAATCAACTTGTGTGCTGACAATATTCTATGACAAAAGCAGTAATGAATATTTTCTTGCTGTTTTATTTTTTCCCCCTAAATCATTACAGTTGTGGTCACACGGCCCAGCTGGCCTCTTACCATAATGTGGACAACAAGGACAATTAAAACACTTTGACAAATTAAATAAGATAATGAAGCCATGAAAGCAATTGTACAACAACAACAAAAAAGTTTTATTTGGGGGATGACATGAACAGCCTCAGGGAAAGGAGAAGAAAGACAACAGTTTAAACAGGATGATATAATGAAAGCATGGATGGTAAACAGGAAGGCGATTGTTTAAATGGGATGCTGCTACACAAGCATGGAAAAAGTAAGACAATTTAAATGAGGTGATAACCTAGAAAGGATGGAGAGGGATGACAAGGATTTAAATGGAGAAAGACAGAGAGGAGAGAGGTATACAGCAGCCTGGTACAGGATGATAACATGAAAATAGGGAAGACAAAGGAGACAAGAAGACACTGTAATGTCATGACTGAAAACTGAAATAGAAGGTGATCTTTTAGTCAACATTCAATAGAAACATGACTTCCAGTCTGACCTGATATTATTACTCTTACATTTCACATCAACATGAAGATGACTTCCAGTTTGACCTGATATTATTACTCTTAGATATCACACCTTGCGTCTCTCACCCTCACAAACATGCATGGTTGTGTACAAAAGACTAGATATGTTTACCTCTTTTGAATGAAGGGATGATAAACTGCCGTTGGTAACAGATGGGCCACCTGGCGGAGAGTTAGGGCCCGAGTCTGGGTTGCTACTGCAGACGCCAGTATCTACTGGAGGAGAAACAAAACCAAATCAGTTGTGACTTGCTCTCTGACAGCTCATGTACATTCTCATTGATCAAGAACTGTCATGAACATGGTCTCTGTCATCACGGGTCCTCTTAAACATTTCAATGCCACTCACTGACATCTCCAAAACATATATTAGGGTGATGATTGCTGCATATGTCTTTATTGATGTCTCCTACTTGTGTATGATACCTGTGGTATGTCAAACACATATGTCTTTCTGTCTTTAAAATGTATTAAAATAATGGTTACTTTGTTTTAATGTTTTTGGAAATGTCATGCTGTTTTTATCACTGTTAAATCTTTTTCGTTTTTGGCAGTACTATATTTTTTAGCAGATTAGTTTTCTATCTCTCCAGTCTTGAATTGTACAGGCCGTTGAAAGAGATGCCATCTCTGTAGTAGTGTCAAGGTTGATAGAGATGCCATCCCTGTGGCAGGGTCAAGGTTGATAGAGATGCCATCCCTGTAGCAGGGTCAAGGTTGAAAGATACCATCTCTGTAGCAGGGTCAAGGTTGGTAGAGATACCATCCCTGTAGTAGGGTCAAGGTTGATTAGCTGATTAGCTTTCTTTGAAAAGGTGACAAATGAAAATTAGTAGACTCCCTGCCAACCAGCCCTAATGCACTCAAGCCAGGATAACCTCACCAGATGCTGAGTATAATTCTGTAATGTTGTGTTGCCAATAATAAATCTTATAACAGATGCAGACTATGATTTTGAAAATTTCATGTTGCCAATAAAAAACCTATAACCTAAGATATCAAATTCTATATGTGCCAGTCTACCTGCAAATTACATTAACCTGTCTCCTATTTCCAAATATGTCAGATGGATACACATCTGAAATTTGTAATGTCAGATGCTGACATTTACATGAATCTCTTACCAATGTGTATGTGTCACCCCTTAAAATGGCAATATTATCACCTGCCAACGTTGTAAGATAGACGGTTGTAATCTTCAGACTTCCAATAATCTACCTTCTATTTTTAGAACATATGTTTATAAATGTAAACATATGAGGCTGGGAATGACAAAATAGCTGCTGAAAAAAATTAAAAATAGAAAACTGACATATTTCGACTCATTAAAAGACATAATACTTTAAAAAAAAAATACTGGAGGGAAAAGTCAAAGACAAAAGAGCACGAGGTAGACAGCAATATAAGTGGCAGAACAAGATCAGGAGATGGGCGAACAGGAGTCTTAGAGTGTATCCAACAAGACAAGAAACAGAGCATGTTGGAGACTAACTGTGGCCAACCTTCACAGTAGAAAGGCACCTGACTGGCTAACTGATACATCAATAGGACCTTTTTTTAATGCAAACTTTGGCCCTCCCCCCCCTTTTTTTTTTTTTTAAAGGAGATGAGGTAGCCAATCTCACATCAACCCTTACAGTCAGCCTTTTATGACATGTATGGTGGGTTACATGGTGATTCTTTGTTTCCTAATGAGCCCTGGTAACATAAGCGCCAGACAGAATACATTCACTGCTGATTAGGCGGCAAAATAATTATAGTCTACAAAAAAAAAGTTCTAAAAAGCAGCAGGTATGGCAATATACAGTTAGTATAAACATTGTGGCACAAATAAGAATGCCTGAAACAAAATGAAATATCAAAGCATATGCATTAAACATAATTAATGTTTTACTACAGTTAAAAAATATTTCAGCCCACAAAAAATAAATTATAATTACCAGTCAAAAACTAATTAAAAATTGACAGCAGCAATGAAACAAATATGATTTAGAAAGATTCTGTGACTAGTTAGAGATTGTACTATTTCCTTCAGCTGCATTAACATTCTGTCATCTGTAAACATGGACTCAGAAACCAAACAGTTCCACTCAACCAACATTTCCTGACATTTTCTTTTTGGACTGAAATTGAATGTCTTAATTCTTTAAACCTCCTACTTTATGAGTTGTGAAAAAAAAAAAAAAAAAAGAAGAAGAAAAATATTAAAATAAAATATTGTTTTAATGTTTTTTTAAAAGACAGAGAAATAACTATAACAGTCTTGACAGAGAAGGGGAGCAGGAGGGGGAGGGAGAAGGAGGGGGGGGGGGGAGGGAGAGAGAGAGAGAGAGAGAGAGAGAGAGAGAGAGAGAGAGAGAGAGAGAGAGAGAGAGAGAGAGAGAGAGAGAGAGAGAGAGAGAGAGAGAGAGAGAGAGAGAGAGAGAGAGAGAGATACAAATAAAAGACTGGACAGTGAGAGTGGAGTAACAGAAAGTCAGATCAGACAAAGTTAGTGGGTTAGCAACAGACAGGCACTTTATAACCATATGACAATTAACTTATTTTGTGTTTATAAAGCTATGCATTACTAGGACTTGTGTTTCTAAAATCACATGAAGCGACAAGACAGACAAAAGAAAAGGATGCATCAAGGAAACAAGCATGGGGTCAGCTTTGCTCTAGTCACCGCCTACATACTGAAGGTGATTGTGTTAACCTCAACAGTTAGTATACAAACACAATATTACTGGCATACAAACACTTATGTTTTACATGCAATGATTCAACATACAATTTTAGTTAGTTAAGTTAAACTGGCAATTTTATAAAATGGTTACATGTCAATTAGCAGCCACTTATAGCAAACTAAAAGTAAATCATGGAATGATTAAACAAAAAATCAATGCCAGAATATTTAAAATGAGGGTTAAACAAAAAAGGCATAAAAACTTAAATAAAAGCAAAAAGTACAGAGAACCACCTGAATAATTTATGATTGAGAATCTTCATGTCTGCAATTAGAACTCATAAACACTTGGCCTCTCAGCAAATTCTTATCTCAACAGAAATCAAAGAGTCTATCTCAACAGAAATCAAAGAGTCTATCTCAGCAGAAACCAAAGAGTCTCTCTCAGCAGAAACCAAAGAGTCTATCTCAGCAGAAATCAAAGAGTCTATCTCAGCAGAAACCAAAGAGTATCTCTGCAGAAATCAAAGAGTCTATCTCAGCAGAAATCAAAGTCTTATCTCAGCAAAAATCAAAGTCTTATCTCAGCAGAAACCAGAGTCTATCTCAGCAGAAATCAAAGAGTCTATCTCAGCAGAAATCAAAGCCCTATCTCAGCAGAAATCAAAGGGTCTATCTCAGCAGAAATCAAAGAGTCTCTCTCAGCAGAAACCAAAGAGTCTCTCTGAGCAGAAACCAAAGAGTCTATCTCAGCAGAAATCAAAGAGGCTAACTCAGCAGAAACCAAAGAGTCTCTCTCAGCAGAAACCAAAGAATCTTTCTCAGCAGAAACCAAAGAGTTTATCTCAGCAGAAATCAAAGAGTCTATCTCAGCAGAAATCAAAGAGTCTCTCTGAGCAGAAATCAAAGAGTCTATCTCAGCAGAAATCAAAGAGTGCAGACTGTTACTGACTTCTGCCAGCTGGTCAGCTGTATGTTGGAAACATGCTGACTGAGGTCACTAGGACCAGTTTACCACTGACAGACACAATGAAATACTGCGTTCAAGAGTCCAGACCTAGACTGCCCAGGATCAAGCAGAACAAGACTGATACAGTCAGCATTATGCTGGTCCCTACACTTGCACATGATCCTTGTCCCTGCTCTGTGAGAGTCTGCTGACTCCTAGAGTATAGAGTTTGCAACTGTGCCGCAGCAAGGAGCTGGACACCAATGCTGTCCTCATTCAGGACAAGTAGAGCAGAAGCAGGCAAGGGAAACAATGATACATTTCGGCAGACAACAGCAACAGATGAGCTCGACAAAATCTTCAAACAGAGTTTGCACTTGATGATGATAACCCTCTAAATGTTCAGTCTGGGCACAAAATCTCCAGATGTGAGTAAACAGCAACAAAAAGCTGAATGTCAATAAAGCTAACAGCAATTCAGTCAATCAGAAAGACCACTGTCCCTGTCTGAGTTCCAGGACCTCACTGTGAGGAGGGAGGGAGGTAGGGAAGAAGGGAAGGGTGGGGGTGGGGGACCTTCCTAACAAGCATGTTGTGAGAGTGGACTTATTAGAGGAGTGATGTTCAAGGTCAGAGTGCATCTGCCTGCGAAGCAAGGAACCACAAGTCTGCATACAAATAAGCCAGATTTGTAAAAGGCATGCTCACACAAAACTCAAAGTTCTTTTTTCTTTCTTTACGTCCCTTTTACAGCATCAAGTGTGGAGGGAGATACAAGGTCCTGTTTTGTGCTCTTGTGGCTGCTTCTACCATGGACACATTGTCATGCTGTAAACTTTCTCTGATGCTATCTTTCCATATTGTTCTTGGTTTATCACTTACTCTACGTCCTTCACCTCTTTTGGTATATGGCTTGTAAGGTATAGCACTCACTCAAGCTCGCGAATAAGACTAAAGTCCAGACGTGGACAAACAACCAGAACATTCACCAGAGTTTATAGCTGGTGAACTTGAAGAAGAAGAAGAAGAAGAAGCAGGAGCAGTAGGAGGAGAAGAAGAAGAGGAAACAGAAGTACTACTGGGCTGCTCAGGTCAAAAGACAGTGGCTATGAATGAATTAGTAAGCAATAATAAATCTCACATGAGAGATAAATATGATTCTGGGCCAGTCTTTTGACTGAAGGATTACAAAAGAAGGAGATACGATCTATCTACCTCTCCAGTTTAGGATCATGGACTTGTAGACCTAGACACGACACTATTGCCTGATTTTATCATTTGCTGAGGCTTTGATAGCTATTGTTAAAGAACCCTGCCTGACTGCATATGTGAAATTTCAATTCTATGTGGTTCTGTGAGGATCCAAGATGGTCTACCCTGACAAAGTTCTTCTATCTTTAGCCTTAGCTTTATCAGAGGGCGTGTTTTCTCACCAGCATCGCCTTCATTCGGTTATATCTGTATGTTTGCTTATTTGACTTATTTCCTCTCACCAGGGCAGACCTTCTATCAAGAACCATTAAAGGCAGGTATTTATTTGTAATACAGCGCAGGCCGGAGAAGTCACCACGGACTCAAGAAATAGTTTTTCTTATTAGATATTCCTTTTATCCAGATAAGATTTTAAAGAAAGAAACAGTGCTCTTCCCAACATACGAGATCGCCTTGTGCAGTCTGCAATATAAGACAACTTTTATGATTGCTTGCAAACTTTAATCCTACAGATCGCCTAAACCTGTTGGTACAGCAGTGGAAAAAATGTATAATAATTTGATGGAATGTTTAGCGACTATAATTATGGCCGGCAAGTAAGCATTTATCTATTCGCGTGTGTTATTTTAATACGACAGGTTACAATTTCACACAACTGCAAATAGCCAGGCTCATTGCATAGTTGGGAGCTGGAGAGGCGGGCAGGGGAGGCAGGGGACTACAAAAATTCCAGTCTGCACAATAAACAGCGCATGCGCAATATAAGGGGTCAAGGCAGGTCATGTTAGCCAAGCTAAAAGTAAACTTTCCCAACAGCGCGCAGGACAAAAATAGCGCACCACCTTAGCTTGCCAGCAGATACAAGTGGGCTGCCCCCCTCTCCTCCTAGAGGATGTTCCACTGCAACAACCGCCACCCAACACATATTTATGATCTTTATGTTTATGTTACTGACTACTAATCTTATTTACATTCTTTAGGCAGAGTCACTCACTCACTAACATAAGATCAGACCCGGAAAATAAGAGTTTTAACTGTCAAAGGTCAGGCATAAATCCACGACTGTGTGGCGAACCAGTCTCTGGGCAGTCAACAAGATACAAATTCTTGGAAGTTTGTTTGCATTAACCGGCTGTAAACTCTAGCGGAAAGCCCTCGTCCATTTCTGGACTTTGCCTGTGTTTCAGTACCTTCAGTGTTAGGTGTGCAACAGACTGGAGGTGTGTATTCAGATGTTTGGTTTATTGTCTCTCAGACAGACAGATGCACTCCGACTTCGGAAGAAAGACGCCAAATCAGTCGCTTCATATGCTAACTAGGGGCACTCGCTTCCTATGCTAACTGGGAGCACTCGCTTCCTATGCTAACTGGGAGCACTCGCGTCCTATGGTAACTGGGAGCACTCGCTTCCTATGCTAACTGGGAGCACTCGCTTCCTATGCTAACTGGGAGCACTCGCTTCCTATGCTAACAGGGAGCACTCGCTTCCTATGCTAACTGGGAGCACTCGCTTCCTATGCTAACTGGGGGCACTCGCTTCCTATGCTAACTGGGGGCATTTGCTTCCTATGCTAACTGGGGACACTCGCTTCCTATGCTAACTGGGAGCACTCGCTTCCTATGCTAACTGGGGGCACTCGCTTCCTATGCTAACTGGGAGCACTCGCTTCCTATGCTAACTGGGGGGCACTCGCTTCCTATGCTAACTGGGGGCACTCGCTTTCTATGACATGCTAATTATGGGGCTATTAGATTTACCCCCCCCCCCGCCCCCACCAATATGGCACCGAGACCTACACGAGTAATTTGTGGTAGTAAAAGCAATCAAATATAGAGATTGTAGACAGTATGTTGACAGAGGCAGTTACTTAAAGAACTAAAGTAAAAGATAGGTAAAATATTTTGGCCACATTAAACAAACAAAAATTTAATTTAAAAACTATAATGAAGGGAAAAGCTCAAGATGAGCGAACAACACGTAGACAGTGCTACAAATGGGACAGTAACATAGCAATCCTGTTTCCTCTGTGCTGACGTCACTAAAATCTACATCCGCTGAGGTCCAACGATCTATACAAGTAACATGTCATTTGAGTAAGCAAGACGGGAGCCAGCCAGGTGGATTGTGTTATTTTCATCTTCCTCAAACTGATACAAACCACTGACGTTTGTGTATTCGGGCACCCTAACCAACCGGGCGACCAGCTACACCTGTCACCCCAACCCTGGAATCTGGAATTTCGCGTGGCGGCAGCTGTGCGCTGATTAATCTCTCCCGCTCCTTCCCCCCGTGAGCCGAATCAGTCGTGTCCTATTCCTGGCTCGTGATTACAACACAGATATATCTGCTGACTGCACGACGCTGGCGTCAGTCCGATATCAACAACCTGCTCTTGGATTCACGCGAAAATAGACAATCGACGTCACCGGCTTTTGCCTTATGTGGATTTTCTGACCCATTTTTATCACAGCAAATCTGATAACCGCCATTGTGTTTGTTCTTTCTGCCTCACCAGCTGCGTTATGTTTCCTGCGTGGAGCAACAGCATCAGTTAACACCAACACGGAAATGCCGACAATAAGCAATTGGAGATTTCTTGGACATAAATCAAGCAAAAATCGTGCACACCAAGAGGTAACCAACTAACTAACCGGATACAGAAATGCTCAGAACTGAGACATTTCCGTGTGGGTTCCGGGACCCGACTGAGGGCAAGGGGCAACCACACCCACTACCCTCTAACAAGCATGCCTAAACATCGGCCGACAAGGGATGTTTACTTCGAAGTCGGAGTGTACCTGTCTGCGAAGCGATGAACTAACAGTCTGCATAAAATGATCTATATCTGTAGAACGGATGTGCACGCAGAACTTAAGTTCTGGAACAAAGCCAAAGTTCAGAGGTGAACCAGCTACATGAACTTTCCGCCAGAGTTGACCGCTGTTGAATGTAAAGAAGAAATGACACTGAATTGACAACAATCGGTACAACTTACGGGAGTCACCCCATCTCGTCGGCCTCGTGATTTCGTAGAGGATTTCCCGGAACACTTATATAGTCTACGGGTGTCATGTGTTCCTCGTTTTAACCGTTTCAAACACATCCGCCACCGGCGACACTACCATGGGGATAGGAAAGAACGGGGATATACAGATGGGTGTTTACTGGGCTGTTATGTTACTGTCCCCACTTGAGGGGAAAGCCACAAGATGGTCCTAACTTCTGTGAAAGTAAAAACCGTACGAGGAACAGAAAAACCACCCGAATTACAAGCTGACACAGCATGAAAGAGACTTGAGTATTGAGAGAGAGAGCGAAAATTAACAAATGTGCCCGGCCTGAATAAGTGTAAAAAGTGACATAACAACAGAACAGTGCTACAGCCAATAAATTAACAAAACTTTACTTTTGTGGTGTGACTCACAAACTTATAACAACATAGCAAAAAATCAGCTTGTGTGTGTGTGGAAAGAAGGGTGGATGGGTCTAGAATGACTCACAAAAACACATAATAATACAGCAAACATTAATTCTGTTTTTGTGACGCAACTCATAAACACACTACAATATAGCCAAAACCAAATTTGTACTCTATGGCGGGGACTCATAAACACATTACAATATAGCCAAAACCAAATTTGTACTTTGTGGAGCAACTAATAAACACACATAGCAATACAACAAAATCAAAACTTACATTTTGTGACACCAGTCACAATTCAATTGTGTGTATGTGGCGCGACTCACAAACACACATAACACAACATACAGCTGGTTCTGTACAAGAAACAACGCTTTTATTAAAGACATACGTACTTGACAGGGGCGTTTTTCTTTTCAGGCTCATTGGTCCCTTGTCTCGGCGACCCACCAGAGGACTGTGGGTAATCATGGCTCGCCGGACTTCCTTTTTCTGCTTGAGAGCAGACCGCAGCTTTAGAATATTCGACTCGGACGCTGAAAAACCAGAAATTGTTTTTTGTTTGCTTTGACACAAACTGTTAGCTTGTCTGTCCGTTTCCACACACACACACGCACACACTGTTAGTTCCTTGTTTGTTTGCCTGTCCTATTAATTAATTCTTGACACAAAGCAAGGCACGAGAGGGTGGAGCACCGCAAGACGAGGGGAAAAAGGGGGAGAGGGTCAAGGCCAGGTGGAATGGATAAGAGAATACGGCGGTGTCCGCTTCTGGCTCAGTCAGAGTTGATTCATCTTACGGTGACTACATTTTTACAACAACAACAAAAAGATTCTATACTACTCCCTGGTGTATTGTATCGGATGTCTAAACTTCTCGAACTGTGGCGAAAATGTTGGAGAGGTATTTGTACATTGAGCACGTACAACTTTTCAAATTCCTTTACTCACTGCCTTAAACATTGTCAGCCAGGTGTAGAGTTCGTATATAGGACCTTTAAGCCAAGTAAAGAGTAGCAGTAGTATGGTGGTGATAGCAGAAGCAGTAGAATTAATTTACTTCTGTCAGAGTATAAGCAAAGAAACTGTCCCCTTTCCATACTGGACATACCGTGTATTTTGCTAGCTGGACATCAGTGACCACTATAGTAGAGGGAAAGTCTCACTGTGCCAGATCTGGTCAGTAGAGACACATTCTAGGATCAGTCATACAGTCGGTCTGCCGCCACAGTCAATTAGGACCAGCATTTGTGGATATAAGTTTGTTTTCCCCCTTGAGGTTCACCCGAGGTGCTCATTTAAAAGAATCGCCAATGAGTACAAATATTCAGCCGGATATTGAAGGAGGTTAACTAAAAGTTTCACACAATCACCATTCTGTCTCAGCATTCAGTAAAGGTGTGAATTATCTCGAGATAGAAAAGAGGCAACAGGTGGTCACTCGCCTCTGTTTTAGAGGATTTGGACTATGCAGATGACATCAGCCTTATATCAAGCTGTCATGGGGTCGCTCAGTAAAAGACTGAAAAACTTTTTACAACAGCCCTTAAGGTAGGACTCAAAATAAACACCAGTAAAACTAAAGTAATGAGAAATAATTTCAAAACAGAACATCCAACTATCTTTAATGATAAAGCAACAGAGGAAGGTCCAGAATTTATATACCTCGGAAGTAAAGTTACTTTAGATGGAGATTCTGAAAAGTATGTAACATCAAGAATAAACAAAACAAATCGAGAATTTACCATGCTTAACAATATATGGTAGTCAAAGGGATTTAGTTTCAAGACAAAACTCAGAATATGCAAGAGCAACATTTTAGGAATACTATTATATAACAGTGAATGTTGGAAAATGACAGCGGGAATTACTTATAAACTTGAGACTTTTCAAAATAAATGTTTAAGGATAATTCTACGATTATTTTGGCCAAACAGGATCACAAATTAAGAACTGAGGAGGAAAACAGAATATGCATCACTGGCAAATGTTATCAAAGTAAGACGATATGGATGGCTTGGACATGTTTATAGAATGCCATGTGACACTCTGGCAAAAAGAGCTCTCCGGTGGATATCAGGTGAGAAAAGGAGACGTGGACTACCTAAGGAAACCTGGAGAAGGACAACAGAACATGGGCAGACAAGTAGGAGACCGGCAGCAATGGAGATCACTTCTCAATGCCTTATGTGTCAACAGCGACATGAAGAGGATATAGATAACAGATATAGTGTGAATATCTGCTTCTGTAAGGTATAGTAATACATATGTTGTTTCAGTTCTGCTGGATACATATGTTCCACTAGGTTCCACACTATACTGTCTTGTCTAGATTCTACGCTACATCAGTCAGTTGCATGGTCTACTTGTGTCTGAATGGCTACATTGCCCTTGCTGTAGCTTCTCTTATACAGACATGTTCTGCTTTCGGTTCCCTGTGAAAGCCAAACACACGTTGCTCGTATGTTCTGATGGTCTGTTATAAGATTATTTTCAAGTTTGATGGATTGTCAATACATCTGTTTGATGGATTTCACTGAGTAAGTGTAACAAATATGTTTGTTCCGGGTTCAACTAAGAGTTAAGCATGTCTAGCTTCCGGCATGAGTATTTCATTTCTTGTCCCACCACACACGCCGGATCGCGTATGCACGCAAAAAATGCACACATTATCTGTTCTCTGATACTCCACATTTCTTAAACTTCTTTTTAATCTCCTCCACCCACCGACCATGTTCTACACCTAATCGACACCCCCCCCCCCACCCCCCGACCTACTTGAGAGAAATATGCAATGCCAAGGTAAAAAGACATGCTACCTGGAGAGTATTTCGAGAGGAGCTGGACAATCTACAGACCGGTGAGATGAGCAGACGACCCGCGGCGCTCGCGTTCTTGAGAGCACGTCTTTAGCAGGCGCCAATCACGCCCTCCTCACGCTTGCTGTTTCTGGCGAAACTAGTTCATCGCTTGCAGGTTATTTTCTCCCAACGTGCTCTCTGCGTAGACCGACACAAAGGCAGGCGGGTGCACAGGCAACCTGAATGATGGACTAACAGATACCGGACAAACAGAACGCTATAGCTGACTCCCACCCCCTCCCCCCATAGACTTGCACCGAAGAAGTCCGCAACACAGCCCTCATAGGATTTTGCCATTTGCTCGTGAAATATAAGGACTACTCCAATTAGAGTTATGACAACCCACAAATCTGGCGACCATTTCACAACTCACTGTGTCCAAGGGATGCCACCCGATTAAGTCTCTCAACAAAATCCGTGAAAAGGAAATATTCTGGCATTGTCTAAGGTGGACAGACATCACATTTACCAGGTATTTTCTTAGAGGAAGTCAGCAGAATCTGTGACCACTGAGAGCACCATGATTTATTTACAACAGGATCACTGGTCATTGGAATTACTGCCCAATGGGATCACTGGTCATTGGAATTACTGCCCAATGGGATCACTGGTCATTGGAATTACTGCCCAATAGGATCACTGGAATAACTGACTACTGGGCTACTAGTTACTGCCCTATGGAATCCCTGAAACCACTGCAGTCACTCATCATGACCGTTGTTGGCGTCCATGACTGCTTGAGTAACTAAGCATGGGAATAATAGACCAGGGAGATAACTGGTCCATTGAATCCCTGGACACTGAGATCACTAGTCTAATGACAGCACAATGAAATCATTAATCACTAGACACTGCAGTTTACCACCGAGATTGCCAGTAACTGGAATCTATGTGTAATTAGGACTGGATGAGTGCCCTTTATTCATATCCAGTCACACAGATACCATACCATTTACACAATCCAGATACATTTACCCTACCATTAATATACATCTAGACACAGATACCATACCATTTATACATATCCAAACATACACACACCATAATATTTTTACATATCCAGACACACACATATATTCACATACCATTTATACATATCCACACATAACACACCACTGATATATTTATACACACACTCATACCATATACACGTTTTCAGACACATATACCATACATTTTAGACATATCTAGACACATACAATACAATTTATACATATCCAGACACACACATATACACATATATATACCCATATCATACTATTTATACATACCCAGAGACACACCATACCATTTATATATACCCAGACATACACACATATACCATTTATACATATCCGGACACATATAACATACCATTTATACATATCCAGACACAAATAAGATACCATTTCTAGATATTCAGATACACATCACATACAGCTGTCTATAGACCCAGATACACATCACATACAGCTGTCTATAGACCCAGATACATATCACATACAGCTGTCTATAGACCCAGATACATATCACATACAGATGTCTATAGACCCAGATACACATCACATACAGCTGTCTATAGACCCAGATACACATCACATACAGCTGTCTATAGACCCAGATACACATCACATACAGCTGTCTATAGACCCAGATACACATCACATACAGCTGTCTATAGACCCAGATACATATCACATACAGCTGTCTATAGACCCAGATACACATCACATACAGCTGTCTATAGACCCAGATACACATCACATACAGCTGTCTACAGACCCAAATACACATCACATACAGCTGTCTATAGACCCAGATAAACATCACATACAGCTGTCTATAGACCCAGATAAACATCACATACAGCTGTCTATAGACCCAGATACACATCACATACAGCTGTCTATAGACCCAGATACACATCACATACAGCTGTCTACAGACCCAGATACACATCACATACAGCTGTCTATAGACCCAGATACACATCACATACAGCTGTCTATAGACCCAGATACACATCACATACAGCTTTCTATAGACCCAGATACACATCACATACAGCTGTCTATAGGACCAGATACACATGACATACAGCTGTCTATAGGCCCAGATACACATCACATAAGCTGTCTATAGGCCCAGATACACATCACATACAGCTGTCTATAAACCCAGGTACATATCACATACAGCTGTCTATAGACCCAGATACACATCACATACAGCTGTCTATAGACCCAGATACACATCACATACAGCTGTCTATAGACCCAAATACACATCACATACAGCTGTCTATAGACCCAGATACACATCACATACAGCTGTCTATAGACCCAGATACACATCACATACAGCTGTCTATAGACCCAGATACACATCACATACAGCTGTCTACAGACCCAGATACACATCACATACAGCTGTCTATAGACCCAGATACACATCACATACAGCTGTCTATAGACCCAGATACACATCACATACAGCTGTCTATAGACCCAGATACACATCACATACAGCTGTCTACAGACCCAGATACACATCACATACAGCTGTCTACAGACCCAGATAAACATCACATACAGCTGTCTATAGACCCAGATACACATCACATACAGCTGTCTATAGACCCAGATACACATCACATACAGCTGTCTATAGGACCAGATACACATGACATACAGCTGTCTATAGGCCCAGATACACATCACATAAGCTGTCTATAGGCCCAGATACACATCACATACAGCTGTCTATAGACCCAGATACACATCACATACAGATGTCTATAGACCCAGATACACATCACATACAGCTGTCTTTATGCCCATATACACATCACATACAGCTGTCTATAGACCCAGATACACATCACATACAGCTGTCTATAGACCCAGATACACATCACATACAGCTGTCTATAGACCCAAACACACATAACATACAGCTGTCTATAGACCCAGATACACGTCACATACAGCTGTCTATTAACCCAGATACACGTCACATACAGCTATTAACCCAGATACACATCACATACAGCTGTCTATAGACCCAGATACATCCATTTTCTACATGTCCATATAAGCAGACTAATTTCAGAATAGTCGGATACTGAAACCAATTTCTAAAAAAATATCTACGTACCTAAGAGGGGTCTGTCTGTTTATGCCCAGACATTTCCTATAAAACAGACACATATGCTTATCCTGCTTCTATCTGCCCAGAGAACAAACCAGTTTGACCCACTGGTGGATTCAAACACCAAGTGTTCTCTACCTCTAGAAACGTGCCGCCACTTTTACCCAATATCGATATTGTCCACAAAATTCACCATACTTTGAGAGACAGCAGCATCTGAGACTTAGGGGTAAGAAATGAGGTTCATAACTTCAAAATACCCAGTCTGATTCAGTTGCAAGCAAACTGTTAGGAGACCACTTTAAGTTGATTCTGACAATGGTATGCAGCGCCAACCATTGAGAAGGCAATGACAAAATGCTGCATGTAAAATTCAATAGTAAAACAAAAATAGCCAATAAATACTGGGGTTGGTCTACGATGATCTGTAAAAGATATGCAACAAGCTTTCCGTTTTGCCACTGTGTGTGTATGTGTGAGAGAGAGAGAGAGGAGAGAGAGAGGGGGAGGGAGAGAGAGAGGAGAGAGGGGGAGAGAGAGAGAGAGAGAGAGAGAGGGGGGGGGGAGGGAGAGAGAGAGAGGGAGAGTGGGAGAGAGAGAGGGAGAGTGGGAGAGAGAGAGGGAGGGAGGTGAGAGAGAGAGAGGGGGTGGAGAGAGAGGGGGGGAGGGGAGAGAGAGGGGGGTGGGAGAGAGAGAGGGAGGAGAGAGAGGAGAGTGAGGGGAGAGAGAGAGGGGGTGGGAGAGAGAGGGAGGGAGGGGAGAGGGAGGGAGGGGAGAGAGGGGGGGTGGGAGAGAGGGAGGAGAGAGAGAGGAGAGGGAGAGAGAGTGAGGGGAGAGAGAGATGAGAGAGAGAGAGAGAGAGAGAGAGAGAGAGAGAGAGAGAGAGAGAGAGAGAGAGAGAAATAATTTCTGTGAGGTAAAAGTAACTGAGATGATACTGACAACATCACTCATTCACTGGTCCAAAAGCAAAGGCTAGCACTATCAACCAAACTGACTTCAAAGTGTCTTTACTAGCCATCAAGGAAAACCTGTGTCCACTACCAGCAGGGCTAGTAGCAATCTGCTCTCACAAATGGGCCACTACCAGCAGGGCTAGTAGCAATCTGCTCTCACAAATGGGCCACTACCAGCAGGGCTAGTAGCAATCTGCTCTCACAAATGGGCCACTACCAGCAGGGCTAGCAGCAATCTGCTCTCACAAATGTTACTGGTGGTCAGTCTCTCTATGAACTGTTTGTTAATGAAAAGTCTGTCAATGTACAGTACACATTCTCTGGTGTGTTTCTGTAATTATATTATAGACTGTCTCAGCTGGAGTAATAAATCTATGAAATTTGACTTGAATTATCTTGAAAAAGGGAATAGCATTTGTAGCAAGTGAGAAAAACTGAAGGTGGTTGGGGGTTGGGGCCGGGGGATCTCTGATGTCTCAAAGGCTGGAGAAAGAAAATGTAAACACAAGAATGAACACAGGAAATTATGAGTATCCTGGAGAAGAAGAGAGAGAGAGAAAGAGGAGTAATGCTGAACAATGACAGCCATGTAATCACAGAAAATGTACCCCAGCTAACACATTATGTTTCTAAATTAAACTTGCTGGGCAGAAAAAAAAAAAACAAATTGAAACCAGTTAGAAGAGACAAGTTAATCACAGACAAGAGAGAAACTGTTCCATTTATTGCTCCAACAGCCTGCTGTTTATGTGCCCTATCAGGGAATTTAACTGGATAACTTAAATGACAGAGGGCCAGTTCAGGGGGTTCACTCATCACAGTAATATGATAATAAAAGAATATCCCCTTCAGCAGTGATGTGTTGCAAGGCAGGTAGCAGCTACATTGAGACTAGAAATGATGATGATAACCAGAGCAGCAACACAAACGACTGACTGTAGTTCAATCTCCACACATAAATCTCGCCACAACATCAACACTTCACTAGCAGGGAGATGACCTGGCGCTCTGGGGTATGACTGGAACTGAGGTCTACCCTCTGGACCACAGTGGAGGAGTTAGTTGTTAAGTTAGAGTCAAATCTCTTATCAAATGTGCAACAACAAGGAAGGTAGCTATGTTAATGCCTGCATTCACATTCCCAATCGGGTTCATTCAGGCATGCAAATGGCTGCGGATTAATGTGAGATCTGGGACCCATGCATTCACATACTTATTAGTATACTGACAGGAGACAGGCATCAAGTACTTGTCAACATGTATCTCTCTCTCTCACGTACACACACTCACACACACAAACATGCTTAAAAGAGGAATCACTAGCACTCACACACACAAAGATTACATGAGGATTCAAACCCCTCCTACCTGTCTTGCGAAGTGGGAAATCATCTTCATATTTGGCCATCAGATGATGTGCGTAAGGAGGAGACAGGTTGAGCGGTGGGGATCCCTGGTCCAGTGATCCCTGACTGGGTACCCTACGTAACAAACACATACACATTAATTCATGACGTCCCGCCCCAATATTGTCTCAAACACAGGAGAAACCACAATACAAGAACAATACATAGTAGCACAATGTTTGACTGTGATTATCAACTGGATAAATTATTTAACAAATAAATATCCAGAAATTACAGAAGTCAAAATTAACAAATACAATATATGTGCAAGCAAAACCCCTCAATTAAATACAAACTGGTATCAAATACAAACTGGTATCAGTGACCTGACAGAACATCATCATCAACAAGTGCCTTGCTGAGTGACCAAATTTCTTCCCATCCAGCAGTACATGTAAATTTACTGATGCCTTTCTGTAAAACACATAATTCACACAAACAGTGCCACAATCATTGTGTTTGCCTCAACGGCTCCACTTGATAAACTCGACCTTGTTTACTTAAGCACATATATACTAGTTTAGAGCCACAGCCTTCTGTTTCCACTTGCTGGTGCAGACATTTTTAGTTCTTAGCTCACACTTGTTTGTGTCTCAGTGCCCAACCAGAAAGTATAAGAATGATTGATATGCAGCAGACAAATTTAGTCTCACTGACAGTTCCATCACTAATGGATCATGTGGGGGAATGTTCACCACACTACACATCTCACAGATAACACACTGGTCGAGCACAGATCTATATGTAGATATTATGTACATAGCCAAGTACCACAAGAAGTGAAGTACCTAACTGGTGCAACAATTACCGGTGCTGTATGCATACTGCACATGATACAAATTCCTTATTTTTCCAAATACCAGCTAAAAGGCATGGAAACCATGGTATGGATAAGGAGTTCAAAGAGAAACCATCACCACGGCATTACCCCCAGGGACAAGTCTACGAGGTCATGAAGCTGGGTGTGTGACTGAGCAACAAGCTCAGGAAGCTTCACTCCAGCCCAGTGATTTAATCACCTGATACGTGACAGCTATTGACTGACTGAAGTTGTCAGCCCATACGTGACAGTTATTGACTGACTGAAGTTGTCAGCCCATATGTGACAGTTACTGACTGACTGAAGTTGTCAGCCGATACGTGACAGTTACTGACTGACTGAAGTTGTCAGCCCATATGTGACAGTTACTGACTGACTGAAGTTGTCAGCCGATACGTGACAGTTACTCTCTGACTGAAGTTGTCAGCCGATACGTGACAGTTACTGACTGACTGAAGTTGTCAGCCGATACGTGACAGTTACTGACTGACTGAAGTTGTCAGCTGATATGTGACATTTACTGACTAACTGAAGTTGTCAGCCGATACGTGACAGTTACTGACTGACTGAAGTTGTCAGCCGATATGTGACAGTTACTGACTGACTGAAGTTGTCTGCCGATACGTGACAGTTACTGACTGACTGAAGTTGTCAGCCGATATGTGATAGTTACTGACTGACTGAAGTTGTCTGCCGATACGTGACAGTTACTGACTGACTGAACTTGTCAGCTGATACGTGACAGTTACTGACTGACTGAAGTTGTCAGCCCATACGTGACAGTTACTGACTGACTGAAGTTGTCAGCCGATACGTGACAGTTACTGACTAACTGAAGTTGTCAGCCTATCTCTGTTGCTTGCCCTTCACCCAGTGGAATCACCACTAGCATTACTTATCATCATCTTCACAGGCTGTATTTGAAAACCCACTGTCACGAGCTGTTGAGCGAAGGGCAGGCCAACCAAGAGATGGGAAGTGAGTACATAGCTCTCATGACAGCCGGCACAGACTATACTACAATTAAGTCTGATGAGAAAAATAATATGGTCTCTACTTCATTATATATGTTGACGTATGTGTACTCATGCACCTGATGAGATATGACATATATGAGGCAATAAAATGTGCAACATACTGTCTATGCCCTCATTCATTATTTAAATTCAACAGGAAAAAACACTGTTTTGAAACAACAACATGAGAAGTAGAAAAAAGAATATAACTTCAGGATGAGACAGACATAGAGGACAGTCAAGCATGGGGTGGGTGAGGCTCTAGGTTGCAATGAGGCATCAGACATAAAACAACAAGAAGAAGAAGAAGAAATAAGAAGATTAGTGAAGTGCTTAAGATCATTAATGTAGTGTTACAAATCTAATACAAATTAATTTGCTCTTACAAGTTTACAATAACATTAAAGCTATGCAATTAGGCATTTGTATAGTGTAACAGTACTAGAGTATTAATGTAGTGTTACAAGCTAAACTAACTGATCATCATAGTGCACATTCTAAATACATCAATCCTGTACTGTTACAGTCTTAAGAGGGCATTAATGTGACGTTATAAATCATTAATGTGTCATTAGGAGAGCATGAGTGTGGTATTAGAAACTATCTATAAATATAATAACATTAGGGTGTTTTTACTACAGCAATTATATGGCACGGCTAGTCACTAAAACAGTAGTAGGACATTAGTAAAACATTATGATGTTTTCTTTATTAAGTTATATTAGATCATTAATGTGGAGTCAAAAACCTTACAAGAAAACTAATGTGATGTTAAAATACTACAACTGGTATTAATGGAATATATTCCATCAGAAAATCACCAAATCTATCAAACAGAGCTAAATAAAATTAGAATACAATAAACATTCTGTTATACACACACATACACACCTGTCTTAGAAATTACCTCATTAAACATTCATTCTCACAAGGTATATAGACTATGCATTCTTTTTAACAAAATTCCACTATGAAACCTGTTATTTCACAAAGCACTCTAACTTAACATTCTTTCTCCAAAAGTACTTTTATTAAACATTCCTACTCAGAAAATATCTTTGCTAAGCAAAAGTACCTTCGCTAAACATTCTATCTCACAACCTACTTTAAAAGTCTTCACGCAACGTACTTTCACTAAATATCCTTGAAGGGCCAAAGGTAGGATGGGCCTGAGTGCCCAAATTTTTAACATTTGAAAATAAAGTTTGTTTGTTCGTTTCCACAGAATACCACCACTAGGCTTTTCTTTTTCCATTGCTAACAGAAAATGTGGGGGTGTGCACATATAGGCAAATAAAGCACCTTTGTTCAAATCAAAACAAATTATGTAACTGCTGAAAGTAGTATGAGGAAGAATCAACAGCAGAGGAGGAGAAGGAAAAGGTGGGAAAAAAGACAAAGAAGAAGAAGCAGAAGCAGAAGAAGAAGAAGAAGAAGAAGAAGAAGAAGAAGAAGAAGAAGAAGAAGAAGAAGAAGAAGCAGAAGAAGAAGAAGCAGAAGAAGAAGAGGAAAGAGGAGCAGCAACAGTGGAAGCAACAGTTCGGCAATATAAATCTGGCTGATGTTTGCAATGTAAACAAGAACAATGAAATACAAGAGGACACACCCTGCATGTACTGTAAGCTATAAGGCACTAGAGACCATTGACCATGCACACATCATAGGGCAACGAGTGCAACAATCACAGGTCACTTGAGACATCCCAATGTTTTCTTGTAGAGAAGAAACCCTGCTGGTCCTCAGACAACCGAATGAGAAACACTACCACAGAATATAGATATTGATATGAGCAAACCAACTGTCCATCGTCATCATCATGTAGCAGGTCCTTTGCAGAACATCATTCTCCCCAGTCTGCCTGAAAGAAACTAGGTCTCTCGCCAGTTCTCCCACCTCATGCACTTTCTCACTCAAGGAGTCATTTATATCCTGTGCCCATCTTCGTGTTGGTCGACCCCTGCCCCTCCTTCCTGGTACCAAACCTTCTGCTATAATTTTCTCCAATCCGTCGTGGTGTTTGATATGACCAAAATATTTCAGCTTTTAAGAAAGAATGCTGTTTATTAGCCAATCTTCCTTGATGTTCAGATCTTTTAAGATGTCAGTATTTCTCATCTTCTTTGTCCAAGATATTCTGAGAATCTTTCTATAGCATTTCCGCTCAAAAGCCCCTATTCTCTTTCTTAAGGACTGGGAGATCTTCCAAAGAGATAGGATTACATTCTTTCTCTGACAACTATGCCTTTGAGGATGATCCAGAATTTAAAGGATAGGCTCGACAGAATGTTAGATTTGCCTTAGAAGAGGAAGCTGCTGTGACACTCGTCTAACCATCCGAAGGTCGAGGGGTTCAGGTACTGATGGAGCTGGACGTTGAAGGGGAAGGGGAAGGGGGGTATGTGTGTGTGTGTGTGTAAAATAACATTGGCTCCCAGGCTGACCTAACCTTAAATGGGTAGCAGGTAAAACACTGGGAAGTAAATGCAGCTGGCATCATGTTGAACCCATCACCCACTGAGTGCCTATTGATCTTAAAATAAAGGTGTAGCCCTGGATCCACCAATACTGTATGTCTAAAGGTTTGGAACAGAGTTCTGGGACTTGTTACTCAGAGAAAAGGTGTCAGTCTCTTCATGATGTTGTTATCTAGCACATAAAGGCTGAAGACTTGTATTACCTATCGTGGGGATATCTTTGTTTCGACCACGGATATAACAAACAGTTGGCCAGGTAAAAGCAACTACGGCAACCTCTGCTTCGGCAGCACTATTTATGGTTCTAATGATGAAAGTGATGACAATAACTGTAATGATAACAATGATAATATTAACGTTAAATGACAGCAGCAGGTGGTAGTGATGAGGATGAACAATGTAACGATAATCCGTGTAATATCAATGATAATGTTAATGACAGAAATTTCAAGGTTGCTGATCATAATGATGCTATAACTTGTAGTAATGACAATGATGATGGTAATAATGGCAGTAATAAGGCTGATAATAATGACAATAATAATAATGGCAATAATGTGAATGATAATGGCAGTAATAAGGCTGATAATAATGACAATGATAATAATGGCAATGATAATAATGACAAGAATGTGAATGATAATGGCAGTAATAAGGCTGATAATGATGACAATGATAATAATGGCAATGACAATAATGACAAGAATGCGAATGATAATGGCAGTAATAAGGCTGATAAGGATGACAATGATAATAATGGCAATGATAATAATGACAAGAATGTGAATGATAATGGCAGATAACCTTCTTCTTGGTCTTGTTTCAGAAGTTGAGTTTTGCATGCACATCCAGTTGACAGATCTGGCCTAATTGTTTGCTGACTGTAGGCTTGTACAGGCAGATGCAGCACTCTGGACTTCAAATGGACCCCCCCCCCTTCCTTTCCACCCCCATTAATTAGTCGCCTTTTATGACATGCGAGGGGGGCAGTGGCCCATTCGTTTGACCCCAAAATGGGGCCTGGAACCCACACAGGTAAAACTTCCTTGTACTCTTTTAGGCTTGCATCAACCGTCAACCAGAGACTGCAGGTAACTTTAGAAAGGAAATACTGTCTCGGGCATGTTTCAAACTACCATGCTCACTAGAACAGCAGTAAGAAATGTAATGACTGAAGCAATGAATAACAGAAGAACGATGACAGTGATTGAGCCACTCCTCCAGCAAGGTACTTACCAGTGGGATCTGAACTGTGGTGGTGAGTTGTTGAGGTCCTTGCTGACTGCTTCACGATGCTTCTTGGTCAGAACAAACTCCTGCAGTTTTAATTTGACTGCTGATGATGCTATTGCACCTAGAGGGGGCAGGAATCATTGGTCATCAGTGTGCCATGCAGGCAGTATAGATATGATTCAGGTAAGTATAAGAGTGCCTGACAACAGACACATTTAGATACTTGAATGTCTGGGAGGATGAAATGTATGTGTACACAGCTGTACAGCTACTGCGTAACAGTAGTCAGAACTACCTGTCAACTGTTAATACTGAATGTTGGGTGGCACATATCAAACCTGATATCTCAACTGAGCCAATAGCTCTGGGCAGAGAGTGCATTGGGAAGGATACTTCTCACAGAAAGAGAAAATTCAATGTGAAAACTTAACGTTATGGCTGGGCAGATCAGCTCTTAGCCTCAGTTTATGAGGGAAGTTCTGACAGTACCTGTATCTCGAGTATTGATCACTAATCTTCTGATCCCCCAGCTTCGGCAGCATGCTTTTCTCCAAATGTATTAGTGTTACCTTTCCTGTGAAGTAAACACAGCAGGCTAAGAGAGGGATCATGTTGCATGAGTGACACATGGTCTCTATAACACTGAACAAGCTCTGTATTATAGAGAGGAGGAATTTCATCTCTAGTCATATATGGTCCTCTGCTGCCACGGGGCTGTGATTTTCATGCCTCTCTATAGCCACACAATAGAAACACTATCCTCTGGAAAGACAGAAAAGGTGCCAACATATGTGTACAACAGGAGGGGCATGGAATTATGTCTCTGATCCTCATTTGGCTTCAGCACTATCAGAGTAAACACTAAAAGTACCATTACTATTACAGTAAATGTACTGTCAGCGTATACACTAAAGGTACAGGTACTCCCAGAGTTTACACTAAAAGTACAAGTACTATAAGAGTACACACTAAAGGTACGAGTATTATCAGAGTACACACTAAAGGAACAGGTAATATAAGGGTACATGCTAAAGGTAGAGGTACTATCAGAGTACACACTAAAGGAATGGGTACTATCAGGGTACAAGCTAAAGGTAGAGGTACTATCAGGGTACAAGCTAAAGGTAAAGGTACTATCAGAGTACACACTACAGGTAGAGGTACTATCAGAGTACGCACTTAAGGTACAGGCATCATCAGAGTGCACGCTGAAAGTCTACTTCTAAAAGTCTATACCATGTGGCGGTGGTAATCATGCCTATCCACAGCCTTCTGTCTCATGTACTTTCAATCAACACAGATGATCTTCCATGCCATGTTGTCAAACTGTTAAGCATCTGTTCTCTTGGTTTTCCTCTGCCTCTCCTCCATCTTTCCTAATGTCACGATATACTCCAGTTTTCTCCTTCTCATCACATGACCAAAGAATGTAGATTGTCTTTTTCTGATGTGGACAATCAGTTTTCTTCATGAGTCAGTTTCTTTCAAGATGTCTTCATGACCCCTTTGTATCTGTCCATGGTGTTCTCATAATTGTTTCTATAAAACCACAACTCTGCAGCTTCCAAATAATTTACCAACCATCCATGATTCACTTTCAAATATATCAATATAGGATTTACACAGATTTTAAGAATTCTTTCTCGTCTCAACTGACAAAGTAAGATTGCATAAAGTGTTTTTCATTTTGTAAAATGCTGCCTTTGCTTGAGCTATTTGACATTCAACTTCCTTAATACATCTTCCATCTGATGTTATCAGGGTACCCAAGTACTTAAACATATCAACTTGCTTGAGGTTTGTCCCATTTACTTTGAAGGGTCAGTTTTCTTTGCCATTACAATTAGTTCTGCTTTCCTGCTGTTTACACTTAGACCCTTGTTTTCGATTACAATTAGAATCCATCATTTCTTGCAGTTGTGTTTCATTTTCAGCGATCAAAACTAAATCGTAAGCATATCGCAGGTTGTTAACAATATGCCCACTGACCGATATTCTTGGCATACCATGTATGGATCTAATTATTATTTCACTGTATAAATTGAAGATATCAGGAGATGCTACACATCACTGTCTTGTACTTTTAATGTTTTAAAATGCCTTGTTTAATGTTTTGAAATGCCTTGTTTAATTTTTTGAGAAGTTCAAACTTGGCTATCAATCTTCATGGCTGCTTCTTGTTGCCAGTATATATTTTTTATATAATTCACAGATCTTTACCATCAGTGTTTAGGATTTCCAAAATTAGAAAATTTTTTTTCATGTCTCACTTTGTAACCAATAAAGCACAGATCTCTATTTATGTCAATCATTTTTTTAAAAAGTGTTCTCAAGATACATATGGCGTTGTTTATGCCTTTACCTTCAACAAAACCACACTGCTCTTCTCCAGTTTTTTTGTTTAATTTTGCACGTTATTCCTCTCATGATAATTCTCATTAATATTTATTTTACTTAAATGACTCATTAAACTAATTGTTCGATGTTCTCCCCATTTCACTGCACCAGATGTTTTTGGTAAAGGTATGAAAAGAGATTTCAAAAGGTCATCAGGTAGTTGTCCACTGTTATAAATATCACTGACACAATTTTGTCAAAACTTTAAAACTCCAGTTCAGCAGCAGCTTTTAATTCCTCAATCGTGATGTTATCTGGCCCTGGAGATTTACATTTCTTCATTTGGTTTATAGCATCTCCTACTTCTGCTTTCGGTACTGGCGATCCTTCCCAATACTGGTGACTCTCTCTGTCTGGTCTGTGGTTATAAACTGTATAGCTCTTTTATATACTCTGTCCATCTTTCAATTACCTTTTCTTTGTCCAATAACATTTCACCTTTTTTTTATGTTTTCAAGCCCTGCTTGCAGTATATTTTCTCAAATCTGATAGTTCTTGTATCTCTGTATACATGTCTTGTGTGTTCTCTCTTTGTTCTTCAATTTCTTTGCACTTATTATTTATATACTCTAAGTATTCTTTTATATTCATCTTGGTTGTGTTTATTTTTTCTTCTAGTTTCCATCAGATGAAAAATTTCCTCTGTCATCCATTTTCTTCGCTGTCTCTTTACTTCTGATAATATTTCTTTTGATGTCTGTTGTAATGACTTTTTTAGCATTAGCTACTGTTCATCTATATTGCTGATCTTTTTAACAGCATCTTGTATCTATTTTGAACAGTAATGGTGCAGTTCTTACACATTTCTTGACTGGATATTCAAGCATTGCCTGTATGCTGAAGGTACAGGCACTAAAAGCATATACATTAAAGGTACAAGGACTATCACAGGACACACTGAAGCTGCATTGAAAGTACAGATACTAACAGAGGAAATGCTTAAAGTACATATACTAACAGGTTTGACATTAAAGGTACAAGTACTATC